TCACCGGGTCGGCTGCGAAATTACACTCTTCCCGACTCTTGAACGGAGAGAACCTTTTGTCTGGGCAACAGGGAGGACGGCAAGGGCTTCGCACTGGATGCAGCCCTCCGGGGACCCCCGCCGCCCTCCCGCAGAGCCCAGCGACTGCTGCCTGGGGCACGGGGGCCAGATCAGGGCCAGAAGGAGGCCCTGCAACGCCCCTGCCCCCTGCGCACCCGGACAGCTGCCGCTGGCTGCTCCCTGGCCATCTCCCGTGGCCCAGAGGGGTTGAGCAAAAACATGCTCTCCTGCCTTGGGGGTAATTTACGTGGCAAAGCCCCTGCCCCGAGCCGAGGTGGACGTGGACAGCATGGGCTGTGGCTGCTGGAGCCTGGAGAGTGACAGCCTTCAAAGTGGGAACTGGTTTACTCACCTCGGCTTCATTCACTTCAACAGCCCACACCACCTGTGAGCACCTGAAGCACTTCCCTCCAAATGTGGCGGGTGGCACGGCCACTGACTCTATCATCGTGACCTTGCTTGGGGGCCATTCATGAAACGTAGCCTGGTGTCACCACACCTGAGGGGGCCTCCTGTGGGCGCCTGCATGGGCCTGCACTCCACCCCCGAGGATGGGGAGGCCAGGGGACCTGTGCCAGGGTCCAGCATAGGTGGTGGATTTGGCATGCGACCTGGGCAGGGGGGCCGGACTCGATAACTGTGTCCCTCCACTATGCTGTGTCTCCACGGTCGGCACAGTCCACAAACATCGGTGTCTACACACCACGCGGCGGAGGGCTCTGGGCCACACTGCCAGCGAGCCTCGTGCCACCTTCCTGCTGGCGGGGCCAGGTGGCAGCCTCTCCTTGAGGTGGTCGGATTCTGGGGTTAGTGGGGCGGAAGATGCACTGCCACCCACTGTGGGGGGGCCGACACCCAGTCTCCCTGCACTTGTCACTCCTGGGTGTGGCAGGCTGGGGTCCGGTGGGTCCCTGCTCTGGGGGCGGGGGGCACCTGCGGACAGGTGTCCTCTCTGGTCCCAAATCACCAAGCTCAAGACCGACAGAGCGATGGGGCTGGTTCAGGGGGTGACTTGTCCCTGAGGCCAAATGGTGGTGACAGAGCAGCCCCCAGGCAGGGCAGGGTGGGTGACGGTAAAGCTGGAGGGGAGCGAGCAAGCCCACGCCACCCTTGGATGGCTGCCTTGGGCGAGCACTCCCACTTCCTCCATAGCCGGGACTGCCTGGGCCCACGTTTCTGCTGTGAGCTGGGTGACACCACCTCCCGCCGGGGGCATGGAGGGATAGGGGAGGGGAGAGCCTGCCCCTCACAAAGCAGCCCCCACAGATGCCAGGCTCTCCCTGCTGCTGGCGAATCCCGGGCGAGATCTGGGGTGGGGGGTGGGGGTGGTGTTCAGGATGGGCAAGGGGACAGTGTAGGTCATGGTCACCCCGAACCCAAATGCAGTCTCCTGACTTCTTGGGGTAGGGCGCTCGGCTAGATGGTGTGAACAAGAGCAAACAAGCCCCAGCCGAGCTCCTGCTGCCCCAAGGATCCTCCCCAAGCAATGCCCCTCGCTCCCGAAGGACAGCCAGACCAGGTGTGCATGAAAAGAGGCAAAATCACCCTGAGCATGGGGTCCCCCAGACACTCAGGGCCAGCCCATGGAGCCCCAGGGCGGGGCCAGGGGGCCGTGGGCTCAGCGCCTCCTCCGTCTCGAACTCCAGGAGCTATGCTGAGTTCAGAGGCTGAGGGGGCAAATTCTCCAGTTTATTCATGGAGGACACTTGCTGATGTTGTTGCGGAAGGAGTGTGTGAATGTCAACATGCTAATAATCACCATTACGTGCACGCGGATGGCTGGTGGAAGTAACTTCTAAATCCTCAGATTAAATGAAAACCCCACAGCATCCCTGATGGTGGGGATGTCTATGATGGTTTCCCAGCCTATTGAGCATGTCTAACCTCTCCCCATTTCTCTACATTTTCTCTAACTCCACTTTAAAGTCCTTCAACAAGAGAACACAGACCTATTGCTTTTAACCCATCACTGAAAACAAGGAAGGAAGCCGGGTGTGGTCCACCGGCGCTCTCTGCTCTGCCGCAGCCAGAGGGCAGCGCGTCAGACTGCAATGGGGCGGACTAGCACCAACTCGCCCCGCTTCCTGTGGACCAGGGGGGTGGTGGTGACAATGACCACGACACGACTGGACCTGCCTGGTGGTCCGCCTTCCAATGTAGGGGCCATGGGTTCGATCCCTGGTCCTGAAGGGTTCCACGTGCCCTGGGGCAACTAAGCCTGTGTGCCGCAACTACTGAAGCCCACGCGCCCTAGAGCCCGAGCTCCGAAACAAGAGAACCAGAGCGGTAACAAGCCTGTGCTCCACAGCGAGAGGGGAGCCCTGGCCTGCCGCAACTCGAGACAGCCCATGTGCAGCAGTGAAGACCCTGCGCGGCCAAAAATAAATAAAAAACCACCGCCCACAACCATGACACTTGCTCCTTGGAAGAAAAGTTATGACCAACCTAGACAGCATATTAAAAAGCAGAGACATTACTTTGCCAACAAAGGTCCGTCTAGTCAAGGCTATGGTTTTTCAGTAGTCATGTATGGATGTGAGAGTTGGGCTATAAAGAAAGCTGAGTGCCGAAAAATTGATGCTTTTGAACTGTGGTGTTGAAGAAGACTCTTGAGAGGCCCTTGGACTGCAAGGAGATCCAACCCGTCCATCCTAAAGGAGATCAGTTCTGAATGTTCATTGGAAGGACTGATACTGAAGCTGAAGCTCCAATACTTTGGCCACCTGATGCGAAGAACTGACTCACTGAAAAGACCCTGATGCTGGGAAGGATTGAAGGCGGGAGGAGAAGGGGACGACAGAGGATGAGATGGTTGGATGGCATCAGCGACTCAATGGACATGAGTTTGAGTAAATTCCAGGAGCTGGTGATGGACAGGGGGGCCTGGTGTGCTGCGACTCATGGGGTCGCAAAGAGTCGGACACGCCTGAGCGACGGAACTGAGCTGACACCTAACTGGGCAGCTGCCACGGCAAGTGCGGCTCTGAGCCATTTCCGTGACCGTCTCAGTGACACCCATAAATGCTACGGGGCATTTTCATGAATACTTTCCTGGTTTTTCAGAAGAGGAAACTGAGGCTCAGAAATGTTACATGGAGAAGCTGAGGATGCTACCCCCGCCAGGTTCTGCTCAGAGCACCCGACATCAGCACACCGTACTCTAAACAGACGCATTTTTGGTCCTTCCATGGGAAGAGTGTTAAGAGAACTGATGGTGGTTTCTACCCTGGCTCTGTGCACTGGGCTCTCTCCTATTTCATCCTGTCCCGGTCACCTGAAGGCCTGGGTGGGGTCAGGACCCAGGTTGACGGGCCTCCCTGGTACCACTGTCCCCACCAGCCCGAGGACAGGGGGCCACGGACTTTACGTCATAAGGGAGGGCGTCTGAAGTGCGACGTGCGAGATCTCCCTCTCATCTTGGGCAGATAACTTCACCTCTCTGAGCCTCAAGTTCTGCCCCACAAAATGGGGAGCAATGTTGTCACCTGGTCAGCCCGGGGTGAGAATCGGTGACAATGGAGGTAAAGTCCAGGCCCAGAGCTGAACATGTGGCAGGTACTTAAATAAATGGGGCTCTGGCTACAGCCCGGGAGGACGGGTGGGGAGAGGGGGTGATGTTCACAGCTGCCCCATCTCCTGCACAGGCCACCCACCCCCACCAGCCCACAGTGACGGGCACTTGCTATGATGTTTTTCACACCTGTCCCTTTAGTGTTCATGAGACAGGTTTTCCTGTTACCCTAGCTTTAAGCAGAGAAGGGGCAGACCCCTGGCCCCCCCACGCCCACCCCTTAAAGTCTGTGTGACCTTGTCCATCCTGAGAGGTCACAGGCCAGCTCCCTGCTTCACAGCCTGCGGCCAGAGCAGGTCTCCAGACACGCTCGCCGGCGCCACCCTGTGGGGACCCCACACAAAGGCAGTCTCGGGGTGGGAGCTGTCACCTCACTTTCAGCCAGGGCTGATCTGGGGCTCCACCCACGTGTGTTCTTCTGCTGCGGCAGCCGGTCATTATTCTACCCCTCCCAAAATCTACAGATGACAGTCAGCTTGGGTTTTACGATTTACTGAAAACCCAAGACAAAGGGGGACTTTTTTGTCTTGTTTTTGCTGTGACAGGTTTAGAAATTTGTTGTACTATATTGATTCAATTTTCCTTGATTTCAGCCATCTTTCAATAATGCAACCTGCTTCTGCTAGCTGGGTACACGAGAGAAAACCCAGAGGAGCTGAGAATATTGAAATGGTTCTACCATTTCCATCTCTGAGACAAATGTCCCTCTCCGAGGAGAGCTGGCTGCAAGCATGTGACCGCTTAACAACCGTCCCCACACGGAAGACGACACGCACGCCGGCGCTGTCTGACGGAAGTGGGGAGACCACCGGGAGAGCGGACCCCCAGTTTCGTTCCGTTATCGCCACTCTCTTTCCTCAGAGGCATCACATGTGCTTCCAAATCCTGGGATCTCTCTTTATTAGGAAAACATCCAAACTCTTTCTAACCAGGCTGCCAAGTGGGGTTTTGCTTTATCAAGCACAATGGAATGTGTCCTGATCCTTCCTCTAAATCATGAAACGGCGCAGACATTTCCTCAAACCCCTACTGGAGGCAAATAATAAAGCTGAAGGAGGAAGAGGCAACTCTGAGCCCTGGCCCCAACCTCTACCTTCTTTACGCCGAGACTTTTTTTTTTTAACAAAATGAAGCAGTGTTGACTGTTGTGCGTTATCATGTAAAACCTTCTATCATTACTTTAAGTAATAAACACATTAAAAAGTGAGTTTCTTTTTTCTATGAAGTAAACTTGAGTGAAAGCATCTTTCTCAGAGGCCGTGGAGTCCCTTCTTGTCCCTGGAACACACCCTCAATGTGGAATGGAGATGCTGGGCCGGCCAGCAAGGACCCGGGCCTCCCCCTGCCCCATTCTGGGGAGCTTGCTTACCTCTTTTTCAATTTCTGCCAGAGATTTGATGGTGATTCCCAGGAGATCAAAGGGCTGCATCTGAAAATACATCAAGTCATCCTTTTACATGGCTGGAAAAAGTGCTGCTTCACATTTGCTTTTCTTCACAACTGCGACACTTCAAACCCCACTGTGATCTGGTGTTTTTTCCACTCCTTTCCCACAGAAACTGTCAGCGTGACTCCACAGTGCTGCATGAGTGTAAACGGACCAGGAGCAGACTCAGAAAACCTGGCTGCCACCGGGTCCCTTCTGGTGGGGACTCCTGCTTAGGCACCCAGGTCGGGGGTGGGGGGCGGCTACAGCTCTCCTGAAAGGCTGTCACTGTCACCAATAACTGCTGCCTCTTGTCCCTCTCTGACTGCCCCCCACCCCCCGAAAAGGCGAGCATGCTCTTTCTGCAGCCAGCGGGATGGAGGTGCCCACGGCTTCTCTACACTGCCCTGACCGCCCCCGCCTGTGGGCTGGAACGGGTCTAAGGAACTCTGGGGAGGCAGGCAGCCCATCTCTTGCCTGGGACTCCTTAGCATCAGGGAAGGGGTTGGAGGGAATTCGAGGTCATTTAAAATAGCAGGTGAACGAACTAACCAACTGCCCATCAATGGTCGTTTGAGAAATCAATGGTGGTGGGAAATAATAACACCATTTTAATGGGGTGTTTGTTTCTAAAACTTCATAGAGATGGGGACCTTTCTTCTTTGAAAATGCTGGCTTTTCCACAGACAGCATAAAAAATTAAACACACACGGCAACGAGAGTCAGCTGGAGGCCCAGAGAAGCCTGGGCTGAAACACACAGTGAGGGGCCAAGGGAGCCCTGTCTCTGAGGTCCCTGGCCTAGGTCCCCTCTGGGATCCCCATGGTCTGTATTCCCGAGGTAGGCCCCCCCCCACCCCCCGGGGCCAGCAGCTGGGGGTGAACAGGTGAAACCTGAGAGTCAGACAAAACCCCTGGAGGCCTTCGTGGTTTTGAACTGCAGCCCACAGGCAGGGGGCAAGAGCTGGAGCCTGAGCCGGGCCAGGGCGGGTGGATTCCCTGCAAGGGGTGGTAGAAAGAGGCCGGCTCCGAGCCCCAGGACCTGGATTCTGATGGGGCTCAGCACCTCCGCCTGTGGGCGGGATGTAGCAGGACAGGTTAATCCCTCCATCAACCTCCTCTCTGGTTACAAAGCATCGCGGGCGGGCCCCTCCTGGCTGACCAGGCTGGGCTGCGGGGAGATCAGAGAGAGAAGCAAGGGGGAAGCGCTGTACTTGGCCCACGTCCGCCTGCCTGAGCCCTTGCTGAGTCGGCAGAGCCCGGACTTGGGACAGGGCCACCGAATTAGGCTCTCGGCTCCCGGAGCTGCACTGCCAGCGGCCACAAAACAGTTTGGCTTTCTCCTGCTGCCAGCCCGAGCGGCGCGAGCATGGGCCGCCTGCCTGCGCGGCCCGGGGTTCCAGCGGTGGTCCAGCTGTTGTATCATTAAGCTGTAACTGCCCCACTAAACTTGCCCGCTTGGAGCCTCAGCGCAGGACAGAATGGCCTCTCCAACGGCGCGGGCGGGAGAGGCGCCAGCGTCTCCATGGCAACACAGCCAAGTGGAGTGAGTGGTCGGCTGAAGTTACACAGGCTCCGCGTGTCAACATCACGGGCGTGTTTTTTTCTTTTTTTCCCAAGATTAAGCTGCTTACCAGAAGGGTTCAGAGGAGGCCTATTATATTTCATGAAAATGGAAACTCCAGGGCAGGTCAGATCGCAAGCTGGGTGGTTTTAAGCTGGATCCAAGAAAAACACTTTTGCTTGAAGGACTCTGAGCTGGTGCCCAAACCAGGGCTGTCGTGTTTATTAACTACTCAAGAGCAAACTTCTGCAGCAAGGATTTGAAAAAGATCCAGGAACAAGTCTACTGAGCCCACAGACTAGGCCTGCACTGCCGAGGGGTGCAGGCACTGCCGAGGGGTGCAGGCACCGCTGGTGGCAGGGCATAGCGGTGCCAGGCGGGCCCTGCAAGGCCGTGCATACCAGGTGCCTCTCAAGGTCTGGGGTCCGGCCTTCAAGCCTGGCTAGTTCACTCAGTCCCTCTGTCACTAAAGACAGCTCGGGGGCCCAGCATGGCTTCGGTTCCCTCTTGTGTACCGTGGGGTCTGTGCTGGCCTGCTGTGGGCGGCAGATCCACAGCTGCCAGGCAGAGCAGCCTGCGAGGGCAGGCCCAGCCCTCCCGTTCAGACGCCTGCGACTCATCCAGTGGAGAATGTGGTCGTCACAGGATGCGGCAATGACAATGGGAAAGGGTTAGCAGCTTGCTTTCTGCTGAACGTTGTCAATGTTAAATAAAGAAGAGCGAAAATTAACAAGGTGAGCTTGGAAACCAGGAACATTTATAGCCAGCAAGGTTCAGAAAAATTCACCATCACATCTGAATCAAGAAACCTCTGCTGTGTCTGCGTCTGAGTGTGTCTGTTCATCTGTCTTGCTCCCTCCCCACCCTCATCCCTTCTTTTCTCTCACTTATCAAGCACCTTCTACGAACATCTATACAGTCCTGCTCTCTTGAGCTTCTTTTGGGGAGTGGGGTGGGGCACAAGGGCAGCGATGGATGATTCTGGCAGGGGAGGGGTTTGGGGGCTGCCAGGATGGCCCTGCAGTGCTGTGAAGAGAGGGCTTAGGCTAGGGGTGAAGGAAGCTGAAGGGGAGGGTGATCATGCAAGAAACTTACACTTTCTGGAACACAAGAAAACTTCTCTGAAATCATAAAAGGCACACCATCCATGGCTGCAAAAGAAGAGGGGAAAAAAAACAAGTGAAAATAAATGGCACTGCAGATCCACTGACATTCAGTAACTTGAGCTATTGACACGGACAGTACAGGCCGGTCAGAGGCTGGAGCCGGCTGACATGGGCACAGGTAGTGGGGCCAAGGGGGACATGTGCCCAGGTACCATCCATGCTCCCACGACACACACCTGGTGAGTGAGGCAGATACCCGGCGGGAAGTGCAGACAGGAGCTGAGAGCAGGGACGGTCCAGAGCCCACCCAGGGTCCCAGCAGTGAATGGGGGGGGGGGGCCGCTGAGGGGCTGGGGGCAGGACAGAGGCGCACGGGGTGAAGGGACAAGGCCAAGTGCTCGGGGCGGAGGTGGGCAGTGACTCTGTTCATGAGGTGCCCTCCTGGCCGAGCCCTGATCACAGCCAGGCCGTCAGGCTCACAGGAAAGGCCCAGGCTGGGGGGGGAAGAGTGGTTCTGGAGTCAGAGAGACGGGGTTGAACCCTGGCCACAACCTTGGGTGTGCTTGGGTTTAAAAGGAGGGCGGTGTGGCCTGTGCAGGAGTTGGTGTGAGCTGTCCCTATGAGCTCGGTGGGCAGGGCTACGTGGCCATCACTGCTGGCTCCTGGTCTTTCAGGGCTGGATGGAGGCTCAACTGTCTGCTCGGTGTTCAGAGGACACAGAGTGGTGGGACTGGGCTCCCAGAAAGGAAAATGGGGAAGGTAGTGGTCAGGGGCTCAGATCCTTTCCTGCAGCCCCGGATCCACCGCGTGCCCAGGTCATCATCGCCGCCAAGCCACGCCCTGGGGCTGCAGCCCCCTACTCCCGGGATGAGGGGTTCTGACGTCCATGAGGAAACCTTGGCACCTGGGGGAACAGGTCACCCTGTACAGAGCGTGACATGGGCGCTCCTAGCGTGAAGGCTGGGCGGCCACAGGCTGGGGAGGTGGGCAGGGGCTTCTCCCGGGGCTCAGTGCCCCCATCAGCCCTGAGCAGAAGCCAGACTGGCATTGCCAGGCCCAGCCACAGGCACGGCGTGGGGGGCCTCGCGGTTTTCTGGTGAGTTGTGGTCACGGAAAGAGGTGGAGCGATGAGTTACTTCCCTGGGAATGAAGGTCTCTGCTTTCCTTGTCATCTCGTGGGGGGTGGGGGGCGGGGGGCCTTCTCTGGGACACTGGTGGTGGACAATGTTGGTTTTTTTTAAGTCCTAAGAAATAAAGAGTCGCAGAAGCAGAAAGAAGAAAAGGAAGTAAGAAAAGAATTTGGGGACAAATCCTCTCTGATCAACAAGATGAGCCAAATGTCTCATTTTAAGCTACTTTCATCATTTCTGGGGAGGAAAAAAATGGAGCCTTCTCTGGGAAGTATGAAAAGGAACTAGTATGGCCAGTCCCACCACAGCATGGGACACCCCTCCTTTCCTGGGAGGGCTGCGTGGGCCACGGGGCTCGGACAGAGACATCTGTGGCCAGAGACCTCACATCACAGAGGCCCCAGGGACCTGCCCTCTCTGCCTGGAGACCCAGCTAAGCACTGGGGACAGCGTGACACCTCCCCAGGAAGGAGCGGGGAGCCCACAGTCACCTTACGCAGCACGTCATATACACAAATATACTAAGGAAATCTGAGCACCTACACGCATTCTACAAGCATACAGAAGGGAATGGCAACCCACTCCAGGATTCTTGCCTGGAGAATCCCATGGGCGGGGGAGCCTGGTGGGTTACAGTCCATGGGGTCACAAAGAGTTGGACACGGTTGAAGTGACACAGCCATGCACGCACATTTACAGCTGGGAATATAACGGCCCTGAATAGATGATCCCTGAAAGGCTGTGATGCCTTCTAGAAGAGACAGGACAAGGCCCACCCAGAACCCAAGGGAAGGGCCAAGCTCCCTTCCCTGTGGCTGCCACCATCCACCCACCGTGGCTGGAAGTCAAGGCTCACCCCACGTGGCACTCTGACCCCGGCTGCTTCCTGATGCCACACTGGCCGGTGGGCACGCCACACTGGCAGCATTTCTGATCACTCACAGACAGGGGGTTGGGGGCCACACAGGTGGAAGCAGTGACTCTAATCTCTGGCCCTTCTATGAGGGATACTTGCTGTTTCCGACGGCAAACCTGCTTCCACACCAGGGCCTTTCACGGTTTTGACAATACCACACACTTGCCAAGTGTCCAGCAGGCCCTTCGACCAGCTCTTTCCCATCAGACCTGCCAGCCAGGAGGTGACTACGTGCGCCAACAGCCCCAGGTCACACCCACCACTGTCTTCTGGATCCACACTTCTCTCCACAGTCAGTCCCCTCAGCATGAAGCCGCTGCCCACACCCTGCCCACCCCATATCAGACGCTGGAAACCACAGCCTACCTTACCTCTCCTTCACACTCTCAAAGCCCCTGTGGTCACCTGTCCTGGCTGCATTCTTGGGCTGGGAACCCTGTTTGGTCATTCACTGGGCTTTCTGCCTTTGGTGCTGAAAGACCATCATAGCATCTGGGGGTTCTGGAAAGATATGATGAAGATCGCCCTTCTCGCTGGTGACATCTGTTTCCAAGCAAAATGTCAACGTCTGTTCCGTGAGCTTATGTTCTGAGAACATGGTACGCTGACCTGCAAGGGCCGGATTACCACAGGAAACGAGAGGCCTGGGGAGCCCTGGGCAGAAGTGAGAGAGGGTGGGGACCCTTGCCCAGCATGAGGCTGGAAGGGAAGAGACGGGGATGCCAAGGAGGGGTGCTCCCTGCCCCTCCCCTTCACCCGATGTCCACCCCCGCCCCTCCGCCATCCCTCGGGGGTCAGCTCAGCGGGCTCCCCTGCAGGACGCTGTGTTCAAAGCCCTGCCTGCCCCCTGGGTGCCTGGCTATGGCCGCGTCTCCTCTGCTGGCTGTGGGCCTCCGGCCGTCCACGTCTGAGTCAGCTCTGCCTTCCTGTCCCAGCACAGGGGGTGCCTGGGGAGCTCAGCATCCCCTGTAATGGGGCTCCAGCCTGGGAGATGTCTGGACAGAAGGGAGGATGCATTCCCAAGACTGAGAAGCAAGAGGCAGCATGAGGGTGGCCCTCAGCACAGGGGGGTGGTGGCCTCCTGACGGGGTTGAGCAGCAGAGGAGCCGCTGTGGAGAACCACGTGGACCTAATCCGACCTTGACGGGGAGGGACAGAAAGATGAGAATCTGGGGATAAGTTTCCACTTCATCTTAAGAGTTCAGGACGGGAAGATGGGCATAGCCAGACACTCCTTGCATTCTTCTAGATAACAGACTTGAGCAGTCTTGGAGGAAAAGAAAGTGAATCCACAGGGTCCTGGGGGCAGAAGCCGCTGAATGCACGAGCGCTGCCTCGAGAGGACCAGCCTCTGGGGTGACACGCTAGGACTCCCTGAAAAGGGGAGCCAGGTCCCCAGGAGCCGCTGAGAGTCTGCTGAACAGATGGTCTGCCAACCAAGTTTCATTTATTAAAAAAAAAAAAAAAATCTAGTATAGCCAAGACTATGGTAGGCTGAAAAGAAGGCAGATTTGAACAACGCATTTGACAGATTTCTCACATTATCCAAATGGACAAGACAGATAAGTATGGCTGGGACAATGTTAAGGGTAAGAGAATCCATAACTGGTTGGACTAGATGTTCAAGAAGCTGATTAATAGATTGACACTGACCTCAAGCAACCCCTCTGGAGGGTGCCCGGGGCGTTATCAATTACTTCAGTGAAGGCACGCAGAGTAGGCATATCCGATATGCGGCCGATGGGGACAGCCCACAGACTGGATAAGGGAGAGAAATCCAATAGAGATCTCAAAAAGTCAGGGTCATGGGCTACATTTAATAGATGGAATTTGTTAAAGGTCAGTGTTAAGACCTGTACCTTAGGTCCAAAATGCCAACTGCGTCAGATGGAATGAAAGAGATGTTCATGCTAGAATAACAGCAGAAGACACGGAAAGAAAAAGATTTGTCCGTAGTGGAACAAGTCAACAGCGTGACCTGACTGTTTAGAAGTTGGGAGCTGCCATCGTAAACGACAGTGCAGCTCTCCCCATGCGAGGGAGGGGCAATCACCACCTGGGTCTGTTCTGGGCTCAAGGGAGGAGTTCCGTGCTGGGACTGCAGGCTCAGAGCGTCGTCCTGGACAGCCTGGTGAGGGACCCGAGGCCAGCCCACAGGAGGGAAGGAGAGGAAGTCGTCAGACCTGCTGCTCTAGGGGGCACCTGAGAGTCCAGGGTCCCACATGCGGGAAGAAGTGCAGCTAGATGGGTTCTGGTCCAGACAGAAGAGGGGCTTCCCTGGTGGTTCAGTGGTAAAGAACCTGCCTGGCAATGTAGGAGATGCAGGTTTGATTCCTGGGTCGGGAAGAGGCCCTGGAGAAGGAAATGACAACCCACTCCAGTATTCTGGCCTGGGAAATCCCATGGGCAGAAGAGCCTGGTGGGCTACAGTCTATGGGGTCACACAGTCGGATACGACTGAGTAACTGAACACCCACCATCACCAGATAAGTCTTGGAGGTGAACATGGTCAAGTGTATGCACGTGTTCTGAGAGCTGTCACAAGAAGAGGGGCTGGCGTCAGGGCACGATTTCCGGGGGAGACCTTGTCCTCCTCTGGAGAAGCCAGCAGGAAGGACACACAGCACCGGCTGAAAAAGTTCCAGACACACGGCCACGTGTCAGGGGGTTAGAGAGCGATGTTGTGTGTCGGTAGAAAAGCTGATCTGTGGGACTGCTAAATCCCCTTCTAATTCTAGGACATCCATTTCTATTCTCCCTATCTGGGCAGCTTTTCCATATTTTAAGATATCTAGAGGCTTGTGAGACATAATTCTTAAAATCAATGGCGCTCATTTTTAACATGTTCCAAAAGATCTCATAAATCATCGTCCGTGCTCCTCATGGGGGAGCACGTGTCCTTCCTTACTGCGCTCTGGTGCTCTGGCCTCATCCCACTCCTCCTCCTAGCCTTCAACCACTGCCGGGTCCCAGTCAGGGTGACATGTGGTGGAGGGGCC